TACAACCCTCTTGCCTATATGGTCAGGGATGGCCATTAAATTACATACACAAATGCATGAATCATGCGAGGGTTTAAGCTATACCAAGTAGAAATCCGGCTGTTCATTCGTTTCGCGAGGATGTAGACTCCGCAAAACCTAAAACATTCGGGAGAAACTATCTAGATTTCATTTTAAGGATCTGCTTTAGTCATAAAATAAAACGCCACGGGGCAAATGGAATAACAATAATATTTCTTTTTAGGTAACTGAGCCACCGTATCTGCCCATGACCCTGCTACCTTTTTGTGAGAACGTACTAAGTCGTAAACATTGAAAAAATATTTCTTTAAAACTGAAACGTCTCTAATTTACTATGTCTAATAATATGCTTGGCATAACCACCTAGAAATTACGTTCAGCTTTAACAAATGGGTTGAGGATTAACTGATTGATTTTGGCAGGCACTTTGCATTGGGTTTCCAGAAGTTAATAAAACCCATTTGATCCAGCTAACTCGTAAAGTACGAAGTAGCAGTAATCATTTGTAATTGTTGTTTATTTACTTGCAATGCTATGTGTAAGGTATAGACTCATACACCTCGAGTGCCATTAGGTCCCGTGTGGCTCAATGCATGGTGATGTGGTACGTTTTTGCCCCAAATTTAGTAAGGCAGTTAGTTGGCTGGTGCGTACATCTGTGGTCTGCAGGCTAATTTGGAACGTTAAGAGACACCCCTATATTGATGTCAAGATTTGCTGTGATTAGAAAGGACATCTTTACATATCCATATAGACCACACAGATGAGCAATTTTTTTCATGTTTCGATCAAGCTCGAGACCAGGACATGCTAGTTAAGGTGCGACCACGTGAGAGCATTCAGTTTGAAATTCTTCCAAGATTCAGTTGTAAAAATGAAAATCCGAGTATCAGCTATATTATCGAGTCCTAGAGGGGACATTAGGCCAATAAAAGCCAGTGAAAAAGAATGCTCTTACTCAGAAGTAAACCAATAGGAATTATAGGTAACAAAAAGCATGAGAAGTTGTCATTTGCCAGGCAGAAATCTTTTCGTTACCGAAATACGAAGAAAAGACTAGCTGTGGAACATCGCTCGATCTTGTTGGCTTGCAAGTTTTCTAATAGGACTGTTAAGAAGTTAGTAAAATAAAGAACCGATTTTTGTGGAGAACGTTATACGAAGATAATTTGTTTCATTTGCTTTATAAGGTAAGATGTCAAATAATCATTACCTTATTTATTCTGGGCCATATTTTCATTTAATGCCAACATAGCTATTTAACGGCGTTGAACGATGAATCAACATATCTTGCTCGACAATGCCTCGTTGGAACGACCTCGATTGAATAGGATTTATATTCAAATTAAATTTCTCTTCTACAAGCAACTTTTTTCAGATAACAAGCACACACTATCGTAGTTTAGTCTATGCGGAAACGGTGTATATCATAAATGGCCTGTACAACTATGTCATATCTTGATTAATGCCGGACCCCGCGCCATGTTTGCAATTATTGCTAAAACTTCTTAGGGCAGATTTCCTTGCTTTCCTCCATTCATCGCTTAGAGTTTTTGGTCTCGTGCATGCAAATGAGCTTCATACAAAAACAGGGTGACCGGTACAAAATATTATCATCGTAGTGTGCCAACTACTCTTAAGGAAGCTCCATTAAATATTGTTGTAAAGTACAAATGTTGTTTTTCCACTAATGTCAAACGAGAACTATGGTTTGTGATGTCGTCGCTCATTATGGAACGATTTACGGAGTGCGTGTGAGAGAGAGTGTGTGTGTGTGTGTGAGAGAGAGAGAGAGAGAGAGAGAGAGAGAGACGACTACTGAAAGCAGCGTTTAGAAACACACCGTCGCTAGGCCATAGTTAACGTTGTCCGTTCATTGTAAAACAAGCAAATAAATACAGCTAAGCCGCTTATCTTCTAAAAGCACTTCAAATTGCTTTTGTATTCAGGCGATACAAAAGTACCCGTATTGACATATAGTTTAGTCGGCCAGATTTCATCGTGATTTTCCTGTGGAAATAGCGCTTGATCAAAATGAGAACAGAAAGTCGATGTAAAAGACGGGTATTGTTTGTCGTACACTTATACCGGATTTCAGCACTGTGAACGCATAAACCGATTTGTATATGTGAAAATTAAAGGTAATTGCTGCCATATCGGTAACATAATTATGTGGTATCAATTTATTTGTTAGTCGTTTACTATCGTATTATAAGACTACTTCGATATATTTAATGTAATTAGATAGACTAGATCAGTGGGTGGACAAAGTTGAAGTGGAAATGATATTATAGCGGCGAAAAGAAGTTTAGATTTAAGAAAAATATCAATGAGATAGTGCAAGCGGTCTCCTGGCGTTTCGATCTCGTATCGTTACGCGCCGCTTAATTAAGCCCATTGGCCCGAAGGCGTTCTTGATACTAACTTCAGTATTGATTAAAATACTCACTTGAGCATCAAACCGGTCTCCTATCGCAATAAACGTTTCAATCTGTAGAAAAATGGTATGTTTTAGACCAAATGGCGATCCAGAACTATCACTAATGTCTCAAGGCCTTCCTGTTGCATTGTAGGGTCTATGGGACCGATTTATCTATTCTGCTTAAATGTGCAATGAATCATCTAATATCGTCAATTCTCGAGCCACCAGGAACAGCCTAGCGTCATTCGGTTCAGCAATAAATGTCAATTTTTCATCAGCGTCTCAAGCAGATACATATGTATTCCTCAGGCTCTGTGGTTTCGTAGTTTGTCAATATATCGTTGACTATCGTTATATTAATGTTATATCAATTGCTAGTATCAGGTCCGTTATTGCTTGTAAAATAATTGTTTCCGCTATTACCGTAGAAGGCAACGAAAACTGCAGAGTTATTGTGTTGGCCACCGTATGGAGATACCCTAACCTAACCTAACTGCATCTGTCGTCTAAGCTATCGTCGTCACCCCAACGCTAATATCACTTCATCATCTTCACATCAGCGTTTCCATCATCGGTACCGTTGTGAGGCCATTCATCGTGGTGCTACGTACGGCTAATATCGACGTTGGCGCATCAACGTAATAACAACGGACAGAATTCAAAACGGCAACAACACCAAACAGCATGCGCAGACTTCTGGCAGAACCTTGACCAATGTGTCTTTCGCAGACAGGTCCGCAAACTTACAGTAGAGAAGGCGCCGCTAGCCAAAAGGTGCAAGGCGCCAGTAACGATCCACAAAGGCATTTGGCTGAATGGGGGAAGGGGAAGCCGATCGAGGTTAAGAGGCGAATGGAACAAAGGGGCACAGAGGCAAAAATGACGCCATCCACCTCCTACCACGAGCTTGCCTTTTAACATCCCTGCTTTAATCGGCTTTAACTATCGGGGGTCTTCTAACCGCACCCCTCTTAATCTTTTTATCAGCAAGAACAAGCCTCCGCTGCATTAAGGGGATCAATCAACTCCGAATCCTTGATGTCATAAAGAATTGTCATGTATCTTGAATCGAACCATTGCACTTTGGCTACTACAGCAACCACTACAACTGCTACGGCGCTACAACAGGCACTGACGATGCAGTAATTCTACCGTTATCCGGGCTACAACAGTTGTGACCATTATTATTATCATCAGTCCGAGGGTACCAGGACAAGATTATGGCACGATCATAACCACCAACAGCAGACCTCCTTCAGGCTAGCAGCAAATGCAGCTGTCAGTCGTCGGCTGTCGCTTGCCTATTGCCCTCAGCATCGGGAACGACAAAGATAACGGGCAGCGATGCCTACAAGTCGTTACCGTTTCGGTGGTAACTGCCATCGTCACTGATGCCGTTGTCACTAATACGCAAATGAAACAGCGCCAGTTAAGGCGGGTAGGACAAGACAGGAAGGGATAACAAAGTGGACGGAGAGATATGGCGGAAAGAAGAGAGAAAGAGAAACAAACACAGAAATGAAGCAGAGGGAAAAACCGCAAACTGGATGAAGACTACGCCAGAACCAGAACAGAAGCAGGAGGAAGAATTACGAAACGACCGAACAAAAAACTTCTCTCCGCGTAGCTGATAAGTGGGCACGTGTATAGTGGGACGCAATGACCGGACGAAGGAGGCTTATGGGCTCGGGGCAGCTTCACTTGTACTCAAAGGATGTTTCAAAGTCGGGGGGTTATGACGGAAGCGGGTAGAATAGGTACTGTGTAACAGGAAGAACACTCTACAAGGGGGAGCTATGTACTCTTTTTAGCCGATGCCTCACTATGATGAGATTGTGGAAATCTTCAAATTGGCTTTCTATTTATTTTATTCGTGATAAAATATCGTTGATAAAGCGCAGTACGATCTATAGACAAAATTTTAACATAGTCATAATAAACCCTGAAAAATAGCTAAAAGTTTCTGGTGAGTAGATGCTTCTTTTCAAATCGAATGTATATCTACGGGGCAAAGATAAAATTAATAAGTGCTAAAACAGAATTACTAGCTTAAGCTGATAAATATCAAGCTCATCGAAAGTTAGGATTAGGCTACAAACAGCAACAGTGGGCGACCTGAATGTCATATGAACGTATGTCATTGCTTTAGGTATCGTTTTAGCTCACATTCGATTTTCGTTTTCGCCGTGGATAAGAGGTGTGTTGGTAGATCGAATTTACCCCTCGCGATATCCCTTTTACTGATTTAATTCTACTTGATAAACCCAGACCCGAACTTTGACCTGTATGCACTAGCGATTTTTATCAACCCACACATTTCAATTTTTAATCATGCGTAATTACCAGGATTAGAAACGCTTGCTGTATAAGAAAAAATAATCAATCTCGCATCAAAGTTCATATGGAAGAGAGCGTCATGGCGGAAGTAGCTTTATTAAAATTCTAACAGATATGTTAAAAGCCTAAATAGAATAATAACAATTTGATCAAGTCCACCACTTAAGAATCCATTCCATTATAGTATCGTAACATGAGTGAGTGTTGCGATCGCCTACAGGGTCCAACATCTGTTCGGCGGTCTCCATCACCGACCTCGGGAACAATACCGCCTTTGCGACCTCCTAGCTCACCTAATCTTTCTGCCTCCTCGAATTGTTACACTGTCGATGAATGCTACATCGAACCATGCTTCTTCAAGGTAAGCCACCACCACCAAACTTGGCATGATCATATTTTCATCGAAATATTAGATGCGAAACAATTATCAGAAATAAATTCAAAGGATAAGTTCCGTACGAGCCTGTTGAGGTCCTGCACTTTCTGGGTTAACTGAACGAAGTGAAACTGATTATTTTCATTGCCTAATGCTAACGGGTCAGATTTAGCAAAGGGTATGACATGTGCTTTTTAGGGTAATAGCGAATTCAGTCACAAAGCCTTTGAGCGTACACTTGAAAAACTGGCCGAAGTCTTTGTACCACGAATTTCGAATAGGTTAACCGAGTATGAAAATGAATAAATATTTTTTTTGCAGCCAGTCTCGGTATTAAAAGAAGTTCATGATAAACATTATTTTTAAGCTACTTACGTAGTTAAAATTCCATAATCTCAGAATCTCAGAAGTTATCACCCTTTTAGATATGAAGAACTTTCGTAGGTAAAGGTATGGGTTTACCTAGTTCAATTTAAGTTATTACGTATCGCTCAAGAGTTCTTTCACATTTTAGCTATTACGCCACCGTACTTAAACCTGAATTTTCATAAAGGTTTAAATATTTATATAAATATGTATATATCCGCAAATGAGTTGGAAGGCGGTAAGCGATCATCCTGTAACTTAGGCTTAACAGTGTACTACTATATGTACCACCATGAACAGACCAATATCGTAGTTTTACCAGCGCAGATTTTTGTTTTACTATTAAAACTATTAAGGCATTTATAATAATAATAGCCTCCCTGTATAATAGAATAAGAACTCCCCAAAACTGCAATACGCGGTCGTTACTTAAGCGAAGCTTCAGTTTATGCAGAACATTTTGTTCGAACGAATGTACCTAATACAACTAACGTTTCATATACCGTAAATCGTGATGTAATAAAAATAGCTGTCATCTTCGTCCGTCCAGTAGTTATGTAGACGCCCAAAAAGACTTTTCTGTTACTTCTGAATAATGCGTGTTAATCAATGCTGATCGTTGTCGCTACAGATGGAGAAGCTGGTCCAAGAGATGCAGCACCCAGAACTGGGGGTGCCACTACGCTCACAAAAGCTCTTCCTGACATCCATACCATCGGCGTTCGTAGGCTACGATGTCGTCGAATGGATCATGGACAACCTCGATATCGAGGACCAATCTGGACCAGTCGCTCAGGAAGCACTCCATTTGGCTAATCTGCTCTGCCAATTTGGCTATTTTTTTCCTGTTGGCGAAAATGCCAAGACGTATACCATCAAGGACGATTCCACTTTGTATAGGTATCATATTCTGAACTATGTTAACTCACGCAATTTTACGTTTCCCATTACAATATAGAGATTTAACAGCACATCCTAAAGTAAGAGAAAAATAAAAAGCAAAATCAAATGTAGAACCTAGCTTTTTCGGACGAGTTTAAATGATTTTATCCTAGATAGCAAGGACAAAAGGCAACAATTTTTTTTTTCAATTACCACTTCTTTCGTTAAACCATATTTATCGAAGCGAAAGTCCTTTGTTAAGTTTCTCACTTCTGATCTAATGTATTTTTTCATTATGCAGTTTGTTTTAGGATGACGCCTCTGTAACTATCAACACATTTCATACATGTACCTGGATAAGAAACTTATAACCTATCACTTCACAACAGTCAAAATTTTCACACGTATTACGCTTTTATAATCAACTTTGTTCCAGATTTCAATCGCCAATGTTTTGGCCGTCGAGAAGTGCACCCGACAACACCGATTACGCGATATATTTGTTAAAACGAAGCATGAAAAACAAACAAAAAAGTTCATTAGAAGAGTACGAACAAGAGGCCTTGCAACGATTGAAAAAACTCCTGTCAACTAAATGGGAAAGCATTTGTCAACAAGTTGAGGACATTGTCGCGTGAGTGTCAAACTCGTCCACATAAAATACTGCCTGACTTGATGTACAGTGCCTCATGCACGAACAGAGGTAGAGACACTCATGCTTCTATTCTATGGCAGTGGCCAGCTATCCGATCGTCAAATGGTGATTTCATCATGGCATACATTTTCCTAGCTTATGCGCATGTTTGAATCGCAGACATTTCTTGTTTTTTCGTTTTTGTCTACACTACCGCGCTAACTGTATTGTTAACATCATCTGTGTCTATATATAATGAGCCATAACTCATCGAAATGTTTGCTACTTCTGCAGGCAATCAAAGGACAAAAAGAAACCTGACAAAGTCATAACGTCGTCACAAGAGCGAGCGTATTGGCGAATTCATCGTCCCCCTCCTGGCGTCGTCAGCTGCCTGGAACGATGTCCCGTACCAAATAAACGGGGACCGCGCAAAATGACAATTGAGCAATTGAAACGACAGACCGAGATCCTGCGTCGAAACCTTCTCAAGTCACGGACGAAAAGCACCATATGGCAGCGCTGTGATGATTACCGGGAATTCGATGCCTTTATGTCTCCTACACTTCCTTCTAATCCCTGGATAACCGACGACGCAACTTTCTGGGCGATTGAGAGCACACAGTACGTATCGCGATCCATGAATGACGCGTCTGAACAATCTGATATTTATCCATTGTATACTTGGAGTTAAACCTGCCCACGTAAACATAACTAGACAAGTGCTGTAGATATGAAACTCTCTTACGCCTAAATAGATTCTAGTTAAATGTAAGATAGCTACTTCAGTAGAATACGCTAATACACCTATCTCAAGCAGTATTCATGGTTAAACGAGAAGCCCTTTTTTGGCGGGTTACATATTTATTGTTGATAAATTGCTGCGTTTCGATTACGATGCCAATTTTTTTCCAGTTGTGATACTCCGACGGAGCGACGTCTAAAGCGGTGGACCCTCTCTATAGAGGAGCTACTTTCGGATCCTCGAGGCTTCCGAGAATTCGAGATTTACCTTCGTAAAGAGTACTCCCATGAGAATATCTTATTCTGGAAGGCCGTCCAGGATCTCAAGAAGGGCTCGCCGTCCAACATTGCTCAGAAAGTACAGGCCATTTTCGAGTAAGTAGGATGGGTATTAGAAAACGCAAGTAAGAAACTATTATTGCCAAACATTTAGAACATATGATAAGATCTAATTTAAATCTTAAAGATAGATTTTTCGTTAAAAATAGCCAGACTGGCATACTTGTACCTAGATGTCAAAGTGAACTGTCATGCAGCTGGAACAGTTGTCCCGTCTTCTATCAAGGCATGTAACTCGAGCGAGTTCTCTGGTCATGCTAGCCAGTATTGATTATTCCATTTACATCAATGTTTTTTGAAGCGAGTACCTGGCATCGGGGGCAGCATGTGAGGTCAACCTCGACTCCGCCACGATGGAGCACACCATGGAGGCAATCAAACGACCCACACGTTACACGTTTGAGAATGCCCAACAGCACGCGTTTACTCTCATGCAGACTGACACTTATCCACGATTTCTGCGCAGTGAACACTTTAACAGTTTGCTCCAAAAGGCCGCACTCATACAGGTAGTAAAGTAATTGCAAGCCACGTTTGTTATCTGATATAGTTGCCTTTGCCTTACACAGATACAGTATAGAAGGAATATCTTTGGCTGAATATGGACCCCGATCGGTCGATTCGGGCGAAAAACAACGGAGAAAGAAACCTGTCTTATGGTTTACAGCTTACTGAAGCAACTTTACTTCTACTGCTGAAAGTAATTCAGCAAATATAGCCTCTAGAATAACAAGTTTCGTATTACTAATAATTCTATCAAGTAGCATACGTGTATGCGTTAGCGTCAATACGCGTCATGAGCCTTTTTTTACAAGGCCTGAAATGATATAAATCAACCAAATCAATCAAATGTTTATCTCGCCAGTCAACCTCTTTCCCTTCGTGTCATTCATTCATTGCGCTCACCTTTTCTACGGTTATCGGTTTTTCGAAACAATCACTCGTAGATTCAGGGCCATCGGAAGCGTTTCTTCCATTTCGGAGCATCGACGCGGAAGAAATCTGCAAACCAGGACCAGCGACCGTCCACTCCACAGCAGGCTGGTACCAGCGGCATTTCAGCGCAATCTACGACCCTGCAACCGAACGTAAGCGCGCTCGTCCTCTACAGCAAGGCCTCAGGTGAGTGAGATCTTGTTAGTTTACGTCAGCTTAATCAGCCTGATTCTATCTAGATACACAGATCACCGCTAGTTACCATTACTAAACATTACAATTATCGTTAGTAGCAGTTACCACGAGTAACTTCATTCAACCATCATCGTTATCACTTCTAACTATTATCACCACAGTGATTACTGTTGGTGTCGGCATAAGAAACGTCTGCGCAATTTTTTTCCTAACTAACTATTTATTCATCAACCTTTTATTTGACTGACTGATTAATTGAATGAACACATGCTAACTCATCAGAAAAAAAAACTGACATTTTCAAGGCATCGACTTTTCTTAATTAGCTTTGTTCGAACTCAGATAGAATCTTTCGAGTTCTGATTCATTGCCCTATTAGATATACGCAGTCTTTTCAGTTAGTTCCAGGGTATCCTCGTTCCTAAATCATCATTTTCACAATTTATTTATACTGACACTATTTACAATTAATGAATTTGGCAGTATAAATATGAAGTGTTAGCAAGAAAGCAGTTTTTACTTGATGCTTCTTCTTTCGTCGTCTTAGTCTTCCTCATTATTGATTAGAGTTTCTCGTTACGTGTTTCCGGCCACCCTTGCGTTTCCAAACCCTTTTCCGTCTTCAAACGATGCAAGTAATTCCAAAATTAACAAGCTACAAAACAGAACATATCACGAAAATTATTGATAAAGGTGCCAGATTGTGTACAAAGGGAGCTCGAGAGTACCATTGCACGGTGTGAATAACAGGGAACAAGTGTACTTTAAAAAAATATATATAGATATATATATCGGTATCAATCAATATACACAAGCACGCACGTACGTCGATGCCATCCAAACGAGAACAACCAGATAGCTCGTACCCCTTGCTACCCCTTAGCCCATACTCCCACTTTCGTAAGCAGCACTGTCGGTGTATTGAGAGAACGTTGTTCCATCGTCCAGTAGGTCCGCTATCATGTAATCCTCGACAGTGCAACATCGTGGCTGAGAATACAGGGCAGTCTCAATCCAGCCACAGTGCAGACGTATCCAGCCATGGAAACACCACGCAAATAGCAACAACATCGACGGCAGCCAGCCCTCCGGAAGGCAGGCCGGAAACAGCCAGTTTTCAAGCTCTTAGATAACCGCAAAGTAAAAGAGAAAGCGTCTGAAGTAAACGTTGTTTTCTTCGTCATTATCACCTTCAAATCATTACCAGCAAATGATTTCTGCTTATCGTTCTCGATGTCTACAACATCTTTACTCACCCTATTAGTACATATCGATCCGAGGTTCACGCCTTCTTGGTCCTGTTCCGTTTAGCTTGACTGAGATCCGGGATGTTTGCCTGACCAAAAGGCACGCTCTCAAATTGAATTTCTTGAAATCTTTTGCCACAGTTTACCGACACGATGATATCCGAAAACCGGCTGAGTTGAGTAACAAAGTTAATTGTAGTCAGTCAAGAGGTGGAATATTTTCCTTCAATGAGTTTTTTTCATCCGACACTATAAACATTGCACGCAGAGCACGGTATTGAATCTAAATAATTAATGATACCTTATAGCCAAGCCTAACTAGTGAGTAGATGCTAGAGAGTACTATAAATAACACGGCACAACATCCTGCCACAACAACACATCCTTTTTTGATCGCATCTTTTACAATCGTTAAACGACTTAGAACTAACTCATAACTACGTATACGTACAACGTGATTCCCCTCCCTGTTTACGGTGTTCGTAGTCTCGTACCGATCTTCACCTTCCTGCTTCATGCTGCAACCATGACCTGTTCTAAGATTCAACTATTTAGAATGAGAATTTTTCAAGATGGCACCGCTATGTTACCTATACGAGGGCCTATAAGAATCGTACAATCGTAGCCTTTAACAATCTCCAGTACAGCATAACAAGCAAAAGTTATTTTGTCTAGAAAGAACATAAAGCACATATGAATTACATCCATTTTTGTAATCATTTTGGTAACATGAGATTAGACTTTCGCGGCAAACTGTAGACGATTATATTTGAACCATAGAAGAAATTTAGAAACTACAGATTTCTTCTACAGACGCGTTTTTCTGCAGCAGCATCAGAAAAAATCACTACTCAATCCCTTTAAATTTGATGAACATATTTTTATCAGAGTAAAAGTGAAGTATTTAAAAAAATCATACTCACGATTTACCTCAAACTCTACAAGGATACGTGCAATTAAGAAAGCAGACACTTTTCTCCATTATTTCTAGCGGTACGGACTATGCGGACCCCTGAGATCAAAATCAGTGGTTGCTATGTTGTAAAAGGATCAGATGTTTTGTTAAATCATTTTTGCAATTTATCCTCGAAATCGATTTTATTTAAACTACAGAGTCTCGAAATAAATTCTGAATTAATAATCTATCGGATATTAATCGAGATCCTGCGCTGCCGGTTTATTAATTAAAATATATGACGTAAAAGTGTTCGCGTCACTGGCCTTATCAAGTATTTTGCTTCAAAGAGGAGCTCGTTTGGCCTGATCCCATTGGCCATCGTCCTTTGTTGAGGAACAAGGAAATTGCATGCGTTGCTGATCAAGCGCGGGGGGAGCCGTCGCCGTTGCAGTGTAAAAGACAAAGGCTTAGTATAAGCAGGATTTACTGTATGCAGCGCATTAAATGACGGTACATCAAAATGGAAGCGCTATCTGCTAGAATATTATCCCTCTCATCAATTAAGTCCGTTCTTTTAAAGGATGGTCTTGTTTTCGGGTTGTCGGAGTCGTGATCCCACAACTTGAAGGTGCATCGAGTATTGATTCCTTCCTTCGAGGATTTAATTTACATCTTTAAGTACGGCACCGCCAAGGCTAAGCCTATTTCATGTGTAGGGCTCGACGGTTAGATATGTCTAGGTGAAGATCACTACGTACTGATTCCTCTCCTAGACCTCACCTTAAACTGCCCGCGTTCTTCCTTTAAGACTACTACGTATTTTTAAGAGGAATGATTGGGGTCTCCTTGGTCGGGTTTTGCGTTTCGCAGCGATCTTAGTCCCTCGCTCTGTTCTCCATGTACACTTCCTGCGGAACCTAGTATTACCTAACCATCACTAAGCGTTTCGTGGTTCGAGTCATTAGTAGATAATATTGCTATGCATTACATATTCGGTCCATAGGCTGTCAAGATTTGTATCGGCCTCTTAGAAAATGAACTGGTACGCTATATTTGCTCTATTTACTATGTATAGCCCTGTACTACGGGTCCTAATTAATTCGTCATGAAACAGTATGGCCGAAACGCTATGTATAAACGTTAATGCAAGCCACTGCACAATAGATAATTGGTAGCAATTAAATATATACTGGTTAACCAGCAATCTTTCAAAGGTGTTCCCTTATCTTTTACTTGGACAATTTTTTTTACACATAATTAATCGTAGCGCAAAAAGCTTGCTGGAAGTCCTGAATAGTGGCTTTGGCCGTAATTTCTATCGTCCCAAAAACAGCCCTCTAAGGGGGGAACTTAGTGTTCGAATATACTTTAAACATGACTCAATATATATATGCAGAAGTACTCCGTGCAGAGCTATATGGCGTATGTATTTGAATATGTAAACATTATGTGAGGTGACGATTTTACCATATAGCGTTCTTCGTTATAGCAAAGCCGTGTATTTCACTTATCACACAGCCCACGCCTCAGATCGTTAAAAGGCTCTAGTTTCTCAACCAAGACCAAACCTCTCTTAAAATAAGCACAAGACTTTCTGGGATGATAATCATCTCAACTAAGAGAAAATCCAAATATCATATATTTTTAGCGAGTAGAATGTCATCTGCAATGATTCCTATGCAGTCACCATTAGAATTTGAAAGCTTCTCTTATTATTCTCACATGATCTATTTCCTTGCTTCTGTGCCAATGTTTCACGCTGATCTCTGATCGTTGTACGTCACACCCAGTTTTATATTCACTTGGATACGTACGTTTGTCATGGATCTCCCTCAAGCTGATGTTTACCGTGTAAGGACGCTATACGATTTCATCCTTGACTGTCCAATGCAGGAAGTACGTGCGACCTCCGCGAGTCTCTGAAGCGACGCGGAAGCCGGGGCAAAACCGGCGGCGGCAGCAGCGTCAGTGGCAAGGCAGCAGTCGATACGGCATCCGATGACGACTCGACAGCGTGCTGCAGTAGCATCCAAGCGGTTAAGCCGACGGCAGCATTTAGTGGGCGCCATTCCCACTCGACCAGCGATCTCCACTTAATGATGCCGGTTCACGGCGGCAATTGCAGCAGTAGCAGCAGCAGCAACAGCGGCGGGGCTAGCAGCGTCCGTCCGACCAGCCGCAGCCATCACATAAATTCAAGTCACGCTACTGCTGGAAGACATCATCATCACCACGATGGCCAGCTGGCCTGTGGTCAGCTGACTGAGAAGGGCGAGAGTGCTCTTTCATCGCCGTCGGTCAGTTCCGAATACATTGCGGTGAGTAACAAACCATTTATGTGTACGATAGGGTACGGTATCCGAAGTTGAGACTTCTTCCACTGCATTCCTTCTAAGTATGTATGTAAATAGAAGTAATTCTTTCAACATGTGCTAGGGTTGGTGTTCATTTGATATAATAACTTTACTTACAGAAATTATATCTCTGGCGACATTTGAAGCGGCCTAGACACAAGATAGGCGGCTTCAAATGTTGTTTTAGGCCATTGGGTTGAACAAGGCCAATATCGTTAATAGGACGTCATGTTCATAATCACCATTTAATGCACTTACAGCATCTATTCAGGATCTAAGCACTTACAAAGTGTTTGTTCTTTAATATGCATACATTATCTTAACGGTAACCATGCTTCAAGCTATATTGTAAGTCTCTTTAAGTTTGGGTACCGCAGCATATGTATAACCCTTTATAATAGTATAATATTAATTGTAATAGTAACAACAGACGCTCTGCGAATGTTGCAAAGCGCTTCCATGCGGAAACCATGCACTGAATAAAGCTTAAGTAAACAGATCGCTTGGGTGTCTCGGAAGGTTTGTGACAATGGTCACGTATGAAAGCGTGAAACAATTCGTACTTGTCAACCGTCAAGTCACGTCAAAGTTCATGACGCCCAGCTCCATAGTGACCAAGGAATGCTATCAAAAAATCTGCATAACCTTATCGGATGCAGAAAACGAGATGTTTAGCAAAAAAGAACTTGTGTGTATTGCTTCAAACCCCGTATTCGCCAGACCCTGTCGTCTACGGCTTTTTTTTTTCTCTTCCCAAGATCACAGGAAGGTCTACAGGAAAATAATTTTAATATCAGATAAAAAATTTTAAAAAATCTTTGGCCGATCTAACGACTATTCCGACTACGTGAAAATTTTTAAAGGTATTCTGAGGACTGGAGAAAAGGGTGAAATAAGTGTGTTTCATCCGGCGGGGATTACTTCGAAAAGGACAATTTTAATTAGAACGATTATACAATCATTTATCGATCTGGAATAAACGACTAACTTATTTTTGAACGAAGGGCTATCTATGTACGTGCTCGTTTTCTAAACTTCCTGGATTATTTAATTACAAACATCTTACCAGTATCGAGCACCTTGCAGTTTTACATTGTAGTCGCGGGTGATCGTCGATATACTGAGTTTGGCAGACCTACCGTTACGTTTTAATGTCCTGACACGATTGATTTCCACTCGCGGTGAGCAGGTCGACGCCGAAATTGCCGACGGAAGTAATGTCTGCGGAGGAACGACCCTCCGGGTACCCCGATGGAGCCACAAGGCCAGCGACCCCGGCTCTATGGCTATTCCATCGGCTCTGCTTGCTGTTCCCTCGCGGTCCGGCAGTAAGGACAAAGACGACAATGAGACAGACACCGAGGAACATACCAATAGCGCGTAGTAAGTCAGTCAGCCATCAACAACAGTAATAATGGTAATAAAAGTAATTTATCAATCTTGTTGTGTTAGTCGATTCGGTGCTTCTCGTCCGCGGTGCAGAGATAGCGGACGAGAAGCATCGAATAGACCGGCGAATCAAGACAAAGTTAATGACAAAAAACGAATGCAAATAGCAGTGTTCTTCAATTTTCGCCTCCTCGAACCGCGAGGCGGCAAACACGGTGAACGCGACGAGCACACCAAAGAGTCGAGAAGACCAAGTGGAGACTAGAGAGAAAGTCCAAGAAACGACCTAACGACCTCAAATATTAACATTATAGGAGAAGATGTAAGAATAATATATATGAGGAACATATATATAACTCAGGGATCAGCTGTTGTTATCAGCGTTTCACATGTCGGAACCAAGCAACGCCAGAGCTGTGTTTAGTGGAGTACGATCTAGACAATGAATGCTGAGCAGGCGGCAAGAAGAGGATAAGAAGAACATTGACCTACTATCTACCATTTTTTAGTTTTTCGGTTATACCCAAACTCCAATGAACTGAACAGCAAGCAACCAATACAGAAATGTTTCAGTAAAAGCTAAAGAAGAGGGTCGAAGAACTCGACTGTTTTAAATAGGTTCAAAGAGGAAGAAAGTGGACAGGAACTTATTGCCGAGTCATTAGCGTACGATACAAATAACCGCGTCTATTACACGCGGACTATATCATCTGAGACACATTGTGTAGAGATAAATCTAGCTATACGATTAAAAGTAATTCACTTCGGAGTCTGCAAGTCGCATCGTATTACCGGGCCTAAAAAAGCGTGCAGTATCCTTACCCAGTTGAGCCTATCGTAACAATTGTAGAGGGAAGATCTAGCGGGTTGCAATAAAAACAACATGAAAAAATACAGTATCAAAAACATCAACCGCAATGCTTCCACTAATGCATAATATATTTCATGACGTACAGAAAACAGCTGCCCCCAGTTATTGGCCGCTTCAGCTTGTGGGGCGTTATAGGCGCACCTAGTTGATGCGACATGTTGCGTTACAACACAACACCGCGATAAAGGCCAATTGTACTCTATCGCGCTGAACTAGTGATTTTTTGCAGTTTCCGAAAGACAGAGAGCATAAATGAAGCTTTAGCCTGATCAATTGCTTCTGGGAAAACATATGTACAACAAACAACGATCCGATTTAACGTTTATCATAGATATGTACGACTATACAAAGGCAATAATAGTAATAATAATAATAACAGAGGAATGCCTATGAAAACACATGACATGAAGTTTATGTCTGACGTTCTCTTGCAGCATACAGATGAAACTTGATTCGAACTTGTCTACTTCTGTTCCGACGACATAAGCAATAAATCATTTCTAAAACAAGATGTGAGACCGCTCCTGCATTTTCAGGATGTACCTTAAGCAGCTATGGTCGATTACGTTCAAAATACATAAGGTTTGTTTAACCTGCCATTGAAAATGTGCGTTGTCGACTACCTCAGCGGCTGTTGCATTTGTCAAGCGTACGGGATGCTATCGTTTACGTTTTAAAACGCACACCCTGGCAAAGGCATAGCCGTCAAGTTTTGCCTACACATAATTCTGATTTTAGTCGAATCCTTCGAGGCAGTTGATCGACTTACTCTACATTCCCTTCGTAAGGAAGAATCATGAGATGCATGTGGTATAATTTGTTTAGAGGAAGACGCACGGGTCAAAAAGGCCGAGTTGAATAGGCTATGTTACCTACCCTGAGTTTTACCTAGCTCATTGGCTCATCAAGTCGATATTGATACTAGCCATTATGATCATCAGTAAGGTTAATCTTGATGACTTTTGATTGTCTTTCTTCAAAGAGTAGGTCGTCACAAGAGCGTCTATCGGGATGTAGCTTACTAAGTTTATCGTGGGCGACGATGGTTGAAGAGTGTTATACAAAGTTCATAACTCGTAAAGACTCAAATATATAAGAATAATAATCGTAATTATCATCACAATACCAGCCGGTCAGTCGGTGTTTTGAGAAGCTTCCGCTACTACGTTACCCATAATCCCCATATGTCGCTGTTGCCATTCGCGATTTCCATATTTCAAGTAATACTGCACGACTGATCACGATTTCGATGAGGAAGCAACCCAAAACGCCGATGACAATGCGTTGATGCCGTCGTATAAACCTAGACATTATACAAATACGCTCGTGGGCATAAATTTATGGGTACCTTTCGTGTTGCTATGGACTTCCACGGTTCGGCAATTCGCAAAAAATCTAACAACAGATACTATGTGTGATAACACACAGAAAAAAATAACATCGACTAAAATAGAATGTGTTTAGAGCTGACGTCTACCCACAACAATGTTGATCGTCAGATTGGAACAACTGACTGACAGCGCAGCGCTAAATTTCTCTCTCTCTCTTTTTTTTCTTTTTCTTTCTTTTTTTCCCCTCTCCTTCTCCCTTTGCCTCTCGCTCTCGCTCTCGCTCTCCCTTTCACTCTCGTTCTCCCTCTCTGATAACTGAATAATGGTAACTAACAAGCACCTATTTAATTATAGCCATTGCGGAACAGACGAAAAGAGCAACAGTAATAGTTACAACAAGGCTCTGTAAATACGCATCCAGTAATCGCTAACAAGAAGGTAGCAAAGCACTTACTATTAATGGCCGCATGTAGGATCGAATAATAGAAATAATACTCTTATTAACAATAACAGTTAGAATAACTATACATATAGTAGAAATAGCTACAACGTACCCTAGACCCCTAAGTAGAATTTCTCCTAATTATTATTTCTACGTTTCTGGCATGGTCGTTGTCGCCATGATGAAGACCAAAAAAAGCTAAGATGTCATCAGCATCATTTGACGTCGTGAATGGGAATAGAGTACAGCGACGGACTTCGGTCGGTCTTCGTGTTCTCGTTACATGCCTTCCACAGTTATATGGCGGCCGATAAAAGTCATTATAACAATAGCTGTGCTTGCAAGTAATTATTACTTAGTAATGAAAAAAAAAAAAGCAGCGATTATGGCAAAGCCAAATCTAACTGGTACTCTCCCGCTGATATGATACAGCCCCAGGTCAGCCACAGCAGCATGTGGATGTTCTCATCTGGATGCAGTGCGTAGAGAAATCGTGATAACTAATAGCTACGTTTAAGCTTATAGGGATAGCACTACAGTTGTTATTGATGGACAACAGAGCCGTTCTTGATAGGAGAGGAAAAATGGCTAAATCTTGTTGGCATACCCGCGTTTGCGGTTGCATAACAAAACTGTAA